ATATATATATATATATATATATATATATATATATATATATATATATCTCGATCGGGCAATTTCATTCGGCTTATTTACTCGAAAAGAGGGAAGAGGGAGGGGTGGGGAGGGGACAGGTTTTTTAGTTCACGTTTCGAAGAAGTTCGAAGCGAGCTCGAGGTGAAGGAGAGGTGTGGTTCTTTCTTTTTTTATTTTTTTTTATATCGATCATTGGAATCGGGTGTAAATATGAATGATGCTTGTAGGTTCGATCCATAGACGTGTACAGAACGGTTTTCGAGTTGAAAACCAAACTGGAGACGATGGTGAAAATCCCGGCGAATAGGATGAGACTTTTTTACGTGGATCAGGTTAGCCAATTTTGCCAACTTACCGTCTTACCACGTTCCTTTTTTTTATGCCTTGCAGAACGTTTGGTTTCTTGAGAGACCTCATAAAAAGCACGAAATCGCGATATAAGAATCTTCTGCACTTCCTTCCCTTGCATCATTCCTGCATCATTAAATTCCCATCAAACGTAGTAACGATTTAGAGGTAAACTAGAATTTACGATGCGAGATCCCATGCGAGAAGTTTGTCTTGATTCTTGAAAATGTTATCCGTTTTATAGGTTATGAAGGCGCAATACGGACCGGAGGAGATGCTCTACCCGAACAAGCAATTGTATCGGTACAATATACGGAACGGCGACGAAATCATTATCGACAGCAAGCTGAATCGTTTTGTATCGACGTCGTCGACCACGTCTTCCATTCGTTCATGAAGAAGGTTCTCGAGCGAATCATCGGACGATACGAAACATCACACCTGACAGTTGTTGCTGACCTCCAGTGAAAAGTGAATGAGATATCGAGATTTCGATCAATTATATGGATGGAGAGACTCGGAATTTTTTTATATATATATACACACACACACACACACGCCGAACAATTGTTCTAGAAAATATATCGATTCTTCAGGGTTGAAAAAGGATACGATTAAAAAGGCGCGTTTGTGCGTGAAAAATGGCTGCGAGAGAAAGTTTAAAGTTTTTACGACACTTGGACGAATTAGAACGTATTCTAAAAAAAAGGGGGGGGGGGAATTAAATTTTCATGTACAGGCAGGTGTTCGTATACTCTATGCAACGTTTTTAACGAAACGATTTTAGCGAATGCGTTTGTAAAAAAAAAAAATATTACGACTCTCTTCGAAGCTTCATGTTAATCGTTAGCGTAGATTGCAGTGAAATCAATCTATCAAGACAGGGATATAAACTACCCTCTTAGTTAAATAGAAATCCAATTTATCGATTGTTTCTTCGAATAGTTAGAAGAAGAATATTGCTAAGAAATGAGAAAGTTCATACGCTGGCCATATTGTGCAAAAAAAAAGAAAAAAGAAAAAAAACCTTGAAATTGTGAAATTTGGATATGAAATAGGAAAAATCAAAGAAGAAAAAAAAAAAAAGAAAAGATGTAGAGCTAAATATCGCAAGCGTATCGAAATTAAAAATGGAAGAATACATTGATGGACGACCAGTAGTGATATTTTCAATTCCGCAGCCAAATGTATCGTGTTAGAAAACTGTTATCTAGCAAACTGTTAAATTTCGATTTATTAAGATTTTGTAATGAAGGTAGAAGATTCATTGAATATCAAGATCGAGTTGAATTAGCTTCGTGGATGACAACTTTTTGAACTTGCGTAAGGTGATTCACATATTTCGAAAATACAATGTGACAAGTATGATAAAGATGCGTATGCCGAAGAGAATTATTTTTATAGATCCTGATTGGGTACGAGAGAGAACGAAAAAAAAAAAAGAAAAAAAAGGGAATCACAAGGCAATGATAAAAAGAAACATATACGTATACAATTTTCTCTTCTCGATCCCACTAACTATTAAAGTTTCGTTCTGGCCGATGTAAAAAAAATTCTTATTCTTCTGCTTGAACAGCGATTTAAAGCGCGATCTATGTTTTTACACAGGCCATAAAAAAATTAACGAAACATAATAGTCGATAATTACAGATTATTTTTACATCTTTATGTTCATTGTCTAGTATAAAGATGCAAGCAGTTGATGCTTTTTTTTTTTTAGAAAAAGGAAAAAAAAGGGATAATTGCGATATAATTTCATGCATTTTTTTTTTTTTTGATGTGTACTTAAGCTTGTCGGTTATCGACGCGCGATAACTATGAATTTAAGCGCAATTAATATGTTTCTGTACTTTTAACATATAATTTACGATTGTACTTTCTATTGTATGAAATTCATAAATTGTACAAAAGAAAGTGAAAGAATGAGAAATCATTAGCGAGCGTGTAACAAGACACTAGGAAGAAGACAACGATATTGCGCGTTATGGCTTATTCCGCTTGCAAGGGAGAAACCTTGAAGAGTCGCTTAGTGCCTGCCATTTATTAGCATTAACTCGAATATTTCTAACACTGCCCTTGTAAATATCATAAATTTATACATACGAAGCAACTTCGTCGACTCTTCATGGTAGTGTCTTGACCAGCCAGTGTTTCACTGTGATCGAGTCGTAGTATTGGAATACTTTATATAGTTCTAAGAACGTTAAACAGGGATGTAAAGCAGGAAAATATTTCAATACGTATGACGTAAAAGTTGTTAAAAAAAAAAAAAAAAGGAAAAAAAGAAAATAGAAAAAGAAAAAGAAAGATCAGCACTGCGCGATTATGAATAATGAAGAGTCGGTCGACACTTCTCCGAAAGATCAGATGCGGTATCGTGTCCGTTTTTCATTGGATCTCAGGGTCATTGATGAATTATACGTATCGTGTCAAGTCGTTTGATCGATGTATACGGCAAGTAATCATGAAAAAAAACGAAGGGTATAAACGCAATAACCCTGAGTCCCCACGCCCCCTATATTGTGTCTAGTCTCGGAAAAGGAAACTTTGCATTGTTCTCATTTTATATGATACGATCCTTTTTTGTGCTGGCGCAAATGTGTACGTACTAACGAAATAAAATCTTTATATGAGACGACCCCTATTTCCCTGTTATCATCGATCATCGATCATAAAAGAGAAGAATAATTAACATTGCAGATTGAACTATTATTTGATTTTGCGTCTTGAGTTGAATAAAATTGTTATTGTTCGTATCGTAGGATAAAAATGATTATGCAGATTGACTAATGAATTCGTTCGTTAAGTTTGTCAGATAAATGTAAAAGATTGAGCATGAAGGTCATTGTTTAAAAATCTAATTGGTCGAAGAGTGTTTTCAAGATTGAAATAAATTATTTGCAATTAAGGTAAAACGATACAATAGGAGAAAATGTAATATTAATTTTCTTCAATCAAACGTTGTTATTTGTTTAATATTTGTTGTTTGTTGTGTAGGATACATGTATTTTCATTGGTTGATGAGCGCATCGATCGCTAGCGATGCTTGGCGCCACTGCACACAGCCCTAAAGGTGACGCCATATTGATGGGACGTAAGGCATGAAAAATATTGTCTACGAAGCAAGGAAATCAGTCTTGTTTGAGAAAGTTCTAATAACGAGTCGTTATAATCCAATAGGAAAAGGAAGGAAACAAAAAAGAGATATTAATAAAAAAATTATTCGAATGTTAAAGCATTGATAAATATTTTTCAGAGGTAATTTGGCGAGTAGTGCCAGCCCTGCTTAAAGGGGCGCGTAATTTTATTCGATAAGAGATACAGAGCTGGATACATAAACTCAAGCACCCTGCAAGCTCGTCAATTTGAACAAAAATACTCGATCCATTGATCAATTTTATATTCGTTAAACATAATTGTATATTTTTAACAAATATCTTCGTATAAGAAGATACCATGATACATATAGAAAAAATGAATAATGAGTAGTAAAATGGTGAATTTATAACCATTTTATAACTATAACACGAAGAATAAAAAATTATATGCATTAGGTAAAATTTTTTACACGTATTAAATTTTTTATTAATATTTCAGTATTTTTTCATTTCTCTTTTTTCATTGTAACCCGCCCGAAATTCATCTCTACACATTTATCAAAAGATGAAAAAGAAAAAATTACAATCGTGTCTCGATTTTATTTTCCTAAAGAAAATTCTTTTGTCGTTTTTATTTATCGAATTCAGATTGAGTCTCTCGCTAGAATCGATTGGGAGGAAACTGTAATGTTTGCCTGCAATCTGTTGACGGAACAAACAATTAACGTCGCAACGAAGTTCTATTCGGTTACTATACGCGATATGTGATCTGATCCGGAATAATAGAGCGATACGAGACGACAGCTCGTTACGTTCCGCCTTTTTCTTTTTACCTTTGAAACTTTACGACCGAGTGGGATCGTGACTAATCCTACCCTGGAGGAGCGTGCGCCCCTACTGTGCACTAAGTCCACAGGGAGGACCACATCGATCCCGATACCCTATCCCTTTTCTTCACTTTTCATTCTTCGTTCGAATTACACTTTTTCTTACTTTTTACTTACTTGCTTTCAGCAATTATAACATTTTTATTTTCGCGTGTTTCATTTATTCTCGAACTATTCACTAAATGTCGCGTAATTTTATATTACGAGTCACTAAAAGTTTATAATTCTTGGACAAGTGATGTCAATAATTCATAAAAAAAATTAAAAGAAATACGAAATAATCAAAATTTCGTAACGAAAAGGGGGGAATTTCGTTTCAATTACTAACGAGAATGTTTTTAGGTGAAATTTCAAAATTGGCGGTCGAGAGGTATTCTCGGGCCCATGGTTTCGCTCACGAGAGATGCGTCCCTGGATCGGAATAGGCAGTAGGTAAGGGCAGAGCGAGGAGAGCGTGTGCGCGGTGGATAGAGTGCGAGTATGATTAGGACGTGGGTCGTCGTATGTCGCTGCAGAGGGCCGAGAGAGCGTGTCTCCTGCGGAACACAGCTGGCACGGACCGTCAAGATGTAAGCTGTCGGGCAGAGAACGCGTGTGTGACGGTACGCCGCTGGCCCAGGCCGAGAGAACGTTCTTCCACGAGGAAGAGGAAGAAGAAGAAGAAGAAGAACAGGAGAGATACGACGATCAAACGGGCCGATCCGGGAGGATGGAGTAGAGCGGGAACCAGGGATCGATTGCTTCCCGATTGTTGGCATGGAGGACACGACACTGGGGTAAGTACCAGTAGAAAGACAGAACTGGATTAAGCTCGACGCTTTACCAAAAAGGTGTTTGTTTCCACGAGCAATTTCAATTGTTTCGTTCCGTGGCTACTGTCTCCGTTTATATATTGGTGTGCCCATCGTGTGTAGGGCAGGATTCGACGATCGATGCGACCAACCACAGATCCCAGCGATCTATCTTTTCGTGGCTGGCTTCGACATTGAGCCAGCGATTCGTTATTCGCACCATCCCACTTCTTTCGACATCGTTCAAACGCAGGATACCATTGTTGAATTGTGATCGTTACTCGTTCGTTTCGTTCTTCTTTTAGTATTGTAGACGTACGATTGATTCGATTTCGAACGAATTCTTTCTTCGATCGATTCAATTTTGATACGAACGAGGAGTAGGACGTCCATGCCTTGTCGAATAGGAAGAGGGACGATGGGTACGGGGCGCCGTGGTAAACGGTGGGAAGCCAACACGGTTGCGTTAATAAAGTCTCGCGCGGTTTTCCCTCGTAACGCAAAAAAAAAGTTGTTAGCAGCTATTTACCTGAGGGCTCTAACCGACCCCTACAGTTTTCGAGATCACCGCCGCTCTGTGGAAGGCATGAACGCGTGCGCTGGTCTCGCCTTCGCGCCTTCGTTCTCTTTTCGAGAAGCTTTCATCGGTTCTCGTTGTTACGTCGCCGTTGTACCGATTGTCCTTAATTCATCCATATAAAACTTCTTTACCGATCATCCGCATACTTCTTTATCTACCCGCAAAGAATCTCTCTCTCTCTCTCTCTCTCTCTGTGTCTCCTTTTCTTTTATTTTCTTGTTTTTTTCAAACAGAAAGCTCGTAATTTCAAGAATGTCTTCGCCCTTAATCGTGCTCGTTCCCTTTTGCTCGAAAGCTTTCTCGTTGATATCCTCGGCTCACAATCCCCACTCTCCTTTTTCCCCCACTCCTCGAAAATCGTTCGTCATTCACAAGGGGACGCAAAACTGTTCTTCGCGTGTCCTGAAAGCGTGCTCGGTCTCCGCGTGAATAGTCGAGGGGTTTCACGAGCGTATCGAGTACCGTCAATGGGTTAAACTTAAAGGGTCCCTTACTCTTCTTACTTTCAAGGAAATAATCTCTGGGCATTCGAATCCAACTAGGCGTGGAACACGAAGGGAAAAACGATTCGAAATGCGTATGTTTCACCGTGAAACAGCCTCGTGCACGCAAAGGTGAAAAATTTGCATGAAGAGACGAAGTACTCTTAGCAAAGAGTCAAAGAGTCGTTATTTAAGACTAGGAAAGGTCACGGAACAGATGACACACGGTTGTCGGCGTTCCTTCTCAGTCCTGTTGGAGAAACGAAAAGGAAGGAATGGAAGGTGTTTCCCCGAGAATTGGGTGCGGCTACTATATATTAATAGGCGTTGATTCGAAAAGAGGTTGCAACCGCCCTGGTTCAATTCGATTAATCAACGCTGATTGATCGTATAATGTTTCAGGGAGAGGAAATGAAGAAATAGAAGAGAAGTTCCAGTTTACTAAATAAGGCCATGCTTTTTTCCATTCGATAAATATCGGATCGATTTAACGTGCCGCTGGCGGAATCGTATACATATGAATTTTCGTAATGGAACGGATAGAGAAAGAGAACTTAAGGGATATTAATCTTTCACGGGAAATTATGGATAAGAAAAATTTGAAAATTGTTATTTATCGAATAGATGGAGAGGAATTTTCTCGAAGAATTTTAAATGGATTGCTGACTTATAATAAATTCACGAGTTGGATATTAATCTCCCATCGATCCAATATTAAAAATAGTATCATCGTATGACGAGATCTGGAAATGCGTTCGATTAATTCGCGAAAGAATTCCTTTTCCATCGTTTCTGGCCAACTTTTCTTTCCCGTACGAGAATTCTTCCACCCAAGACGAACAAATGAAATCTCGATGGGATCACGATCTCAATTGAAATATCTCGACAGAAGGGCAAGTGCCTGGAAGAATGTTCGAATTCTCCTCGACAACGATCCAACATCCACGATTAATTTCGCTCAACCGGATCATCCAGAAACCCCATCTTTCTTCATCGAAAAAATTCTGGCAAAACGGTTTAACAAGAATATACACGTCGATCTCTATCGTTTTAAAGGATTCGATAAATCGATAAATCGTCAAACGACTTTCCTCGATATTACACCCCCATCGAATGGGGTGATCTCCACTCGTTCCTGACCTGGATTAAAATCCCGTCGACCTGTGATATATCCTTTGAAACCTCGACGTACCCGCGATTCGACGAAAATAAACAAGGCAAACGAGAAATCACGAGTGGTGGAAAGGAACCGTCCAGCAGTACGCGCCGCTCATTCGTCTCAACAATGACGTAACTTGCAAATTTTCTCAACCATCCAAGACCAAGAATTTTGTGCTTTCTATCGAAATAAAAGAAATCCTTCGATTAAATTCATATTTCGAATTTTATGCATTTTTAGAAGAGGATCGAAGAAACAGTGAAAGTTTTATATTTATTTATTTTTTTTTTTTTCTTTTAACAAGTTTGTTCCAACCGTTCGTTACGACAACGTGAAAGTGCGTCCACGGTTGTATTATATTTGCCTAATTATATTTATCGCTGCACGACTCATTGGAAAGACGAGAAATCTAGAAATAAAAGTTCGTTACTCGAGTCTTCCGATTTCAACGAGGTTCCCGCGAAATCAGTGTCGTTAGTAGTGCGCGTTCGACGACAAGAACAACTCGTTTCTCCGTGAAACGAACGAACACCTCTTATCGAACCCGACCAACTTTTCATCCTCTTTCCGGCGGACAAAGTTGATCGTGGCGAGTTACGTCGTGACGGCGTAAGTAAGAATTTTAATTGGAACTATCCGTGGGGGAGGTGGGGGGAAAAATTCGCTTCTCATCGACCGCTGATTAATTTTTCCTCCTCCCCCCTCCCCCTTCCGTTAAAATTGAATCGAACAACGCTTCCCCCCGTCCCCCCTCCCCCCCTCCTCCCCCGTTTTCTCGTTATTCGGAAAAAAGAGAAACAAAAGATCGAATGGATTTCGACGAAAAGGAAATGTCAATGGGGGGAGGGGGGAGGGGGGAGGTGGGAAGAAAAATAGATACGGTAGACGTGGATAAAAGGTGGAAGTGCCGCGATAAAATCGATCCCCCACCTGGAAGTGGATGCGAAAGAGAGAGAGAGAAGAAAAAAAATGGATGGGATCGGAATTTTGAAAGCCGGGAGGACGTTTATAAATAAACCGAACGCGCCGGTTTGCTGCGCAAACTGTTCCACTTCTCGTTGTAACGTTGTTGCATTTCTATAAAACCTATCAACACACGGCCGAATATGCACGCGTGTTGCGCCAGGGGCGTATAAGGAGGGGGCGTACCCCCAATGTACACAGGGTGTCGAAAAAAGAGATGGATATCCAAGATTTGTAAATCGATCGAAGATTTTTTTTTTATCCGTTTAAGG